CCTCGCGCTCGCACCCGCCACGTCAGCTCACTGCAGCCTTGCGGGTAGGGATCGTTTGGCCCACTTCCTGGGCAAAGAAGGAGCCTTGTGCCCAGTGTCCTGGGGTAGCCGAGTGGGCCGTGTCCAGGGGCAGTCAGCTCCCAGAGGGGACTCGAGTTTGGCAGATCAGGATCTGTCGCTGCCACCCTGGCCCCTAAGCTGACTTCCCACCAGCTGGACGTGTCCCTTCCCCAGTGCTGGCCTCGGTTGCCCCTCTAACAGTGTCTGGGATTGGGCTAGAGCCAGGGCTCCTCGTCCCTGCTGCTCTGAGGCTCTGGGATTCTGAGTCCACGGAGGGGCCCTGAACCTCGTTGCCCCTGGAGGAGGGTGCAGAATCCAACGGGATCGACTGGTGACGTCAGGGGGCGGGTATGAAACCCAGAGAGGGGAGGCCTTTGCCCAGAGTGACTCAGACTTTCCGTGGCTGTACCGAGCTCTGAACAGAGACCTCCCGTCAGCTCTGCCCCTCAGACCCCTATGGTCTTGCCTGCTCTTCTCTCTCCTTTCTGTCCAAGGGTGTCCCCATGAGAGTGGACATCATGCAGTGTGTAGCCTGCTAGACGGGGATCCCTCCACCCCAAGATCCCTCGACGGCACGCTGCCCCCCAACTTCACCACATTCCTCCTCTCTGTGGTGGCAGGAGAGAGGGACCCTTGGAAAGGTGCTGGTTGGGCACTTTGGGCCTGCCCCCCCCTCTGGCCAGAGTTCACTCATTACCTGACACCTGGGGGAGTGGGAGCATTGGGGGAGGGTCCGTTGAGGCCAGGTCCCCTGGGAGGGCTGCTCTTTGCCCCCTCACGCCCTGGTGCCCTGGCCACTGGCCCACAGCCTGCTTCCGGGGTGGCCACACCCTCCCAGGTTTAGCACCGTTTGGGTCCTAGGCAGAAAAGGCCTCTGCTTCCAACACCTGTTTCCTGCTGCTCCCCACCCCCTTCCTGGGCTGGTCACAGGCTGCACTTCGGTGGCTCAGCCAGACCCAGTGCTCTTCTGGCCCCTGGATGGGTGGGGGGGGGGGCGGCGGCACACCCTCCCAGGTTTAGCACCGTTTGGGTCCTAGGCAGAAAAGGCCTCTGCTTCCAACACCTGTTTCCTGCTGCTCCCCACCCCCTTCCTGGGCTGGTCACAGGCTGCACTTCGGTGGCTCAGCCAGACCCAGTGCTCTTCTGGCCCCTGGATGGGGGGGGGGGGGGGCGGCAGTCACTGTGTCCCCTCCCTCGCATCCCCCGTATTTGTCATCTCGCTGTGCTTTGCTGTGCTTTTCTGTCGATCGATTCCTTTGTCTCCGACGCGCCCTCTCCGTTTATCTCTGTTCCTCTGCCTCTCCCTGCTCAGCTGTCTCCAGATTTTGGCTTTTCCCTCCTGCTCAGCCCTCGCCTCCTGTCTGCAGCTCCCTCACCTCCTTTCTCTCTCTCACCAGCCCCCAGGGGTGCTGCGGTGGGTAGGGCCCTGTTCCTGCCACTGGTGTCTGGGCTGGGGCATCACTCCCGTGGGAGCAGGGGAAGGCCTGACCCCCAGGACCCTCAGCCCCAGGTCTGATAGCTCAGCGGCCGGCGCGCCCCTCCCCACACCTGGAGTGGGTGTGCAGCCGGGCCGGGGGCCAAGTGCTGCTGTCAGCGCCTTTGCGGCCTTGCTGTCCCCGTCCCTGGATGCGTCAGGCCTCGACAGGTGGTGGGCAGGCAGCCCAGGGACAGGGACAGGCGGCTGACGCACACGGGACGGGGAGAGGGGGAGCCTCCTCCCCACTCTTGAGTCATGGGGGGGAGTGGGGGGAGCCGGAGAGAGGGCGGGGTCACCTTGAGGGCCCAGTTGGGCAGCGCTCAGAGGGGCTGGGTTAGGGGCGTGGGGGCCACTGTACCCCCTGAACTGTTTGGGAAGGGAAGAGGCAGGACTGGACTAGTGCAGCCTCTCCAAGTCTGGGCGCCTTCTCCTACTCCCCTCCCTTCCCCTTCGCCTCTTCTTACAGCCTCAGCATGGGCTGGGATCTCCGAGTCTGGTCAGCTCAGCTTTGCCTGACAGCTGCTGGGTCTGGCCGAGCAGGTGATGGTTTGAACAACTCAGATCTGAGGGTGAGGGGGCTCGATGCGGCTGAAGTTCCTCGTGTGCGTGTACATACATGCGCGCTCGTGTGGGCCACACATGTGCTTAACATGTCGACATACAGGCAAGTGCGGGCCTGTGTTCCCCAGAGATGCTCCACATGCATCCCTTCCCACCCCTCCACACACAGGCATGCCCTCGTTCACTCTACGTTCACTCCTGAGCTGGCCAGGCAGGCACATATCCTGTGCACACGGGCATATGTGTGCACAGCCGCCGGCCTGCACACCCGTCTACTTGTACACGTCAGCACGCCCCTGCTCCAGTGCTCTGAGCCAGCGCACACCTGCACGTCACCTGCATACAAATGCGGTCCCCAGACATTCCCAGCCAGAGGAGGTGCAGACAGAGGGTTCTCCAATAGGGCAAACTTGGCAACTCAGCCTCTTCCGTTACAGCCTCCCTGCCTGAGGGGGAGGGGAACTGAAGCCACCGGAGGGGTAGGTCTGGCCTGAGGCCCCCTAGGAGCCAGCGACCACGTCCCTGGTCTCCCAACTCCAGCCCTGAGAATTTTCGTGGCACAGCCAAGGACAGAAACGCTCTCTGCTGCCTGTCCTTGCCCCCTTCTTGGCCGACAGCCTCGTGGTTGCCCCCTCCCCTGCCCCCGTCCAGCCTCTCAGCCTAAGCTGGCCCTGCAGGCGACGGGGAGGTGTAAGGCGGGCTCCCCTGGAGGTCCTGATCATCACAGCCTCTGACGCTGCATCAGCCTTTCACCCGAGGGGTCACCTGGACTCCGTGTTCACTTGCCACCTCAACAAAAACTGCCTGCCTGGGCTTCTTTGGGGACTTTTCTCCCTCTCCACTTCCCTTTCCTCTGTTCCAGCCCTCCGGGACTCAGGGCTGTAAATTGGTTTCGCTTTAACAGCAGAGGTCTCACATTTTTTCTTAAAGTGCTTTTTTCCTGGAGTTTCCCGGGAGGAGGAGCAGGACGCAGAGGTGGGCCTTGTGAACAGTCTTCTGCTTTCTTTATCCAAACATGGATTTCTCTGGCCTAATCTTCGCATCCCTGGCCAGTGCCCAGGGCGGAGGGAGGGAGGACCGAGTTCTCGCGGTCAGGAGAGCACTGGGTGTGAGTTAGAAACTGATCTGGATGAGGGGCCGTGTCTGGCTTGCTGGGTGACCGGGGCAAGTCCACCCCAGACTGAGATTCAGTTTCCCCACTTGGAAAGTGAGGGTCTGTGGGCTGGGAGCCCTGCACTGCCTCCCCTGACCCTCTTCATCTTGAGCACGGGCAGCATGGCTCACCTTACTTCCCCCCCCATCAGATGGCCAGGCAGGGGCTTGGTCCCCTACTTTATAGTTGTGGAAACAGACTCAGGGGTGGTGTGCTCCATCTGGCCAATCAGGCAGGGTGGGCGGGGCTCCAGGCCTCCGGATTCCTGC